AAAAAAAAAAAAGACGAGGCTGCCTGCAGGAAGGAAGAGTTATTCAAGAAACTATTTTCTGCTTGTCAGTTTATGCCTTGCATTTCACAATCCTGGTGAACTTTGTGTCCTGCTTGTGACTGAGSAGCACAGTGTGGTCATTCTGCTCCCTGATCCCACGCTTTGGGGCTGGAAAAGCACAGGGAGAGCTTCCCTCTGGCTGCCTGCCTGGGGAAAAACACCCGTGGGGTGGGTGAGGATGGATGGGGGGATAAAATCTTGATTTGGGATGTGTTGGGAGAGGGATGCAGGCTGGAGGGATGAGCATCGTGTCCTTGCAGCACGGGATGTTCGTGGGGATGAAGGGGAGGGCTGGAGAGCTTGGGCAGCACCTGCAGCCCCTGGGAGATGTTTGCTGCTCCCTGAGGATCAGCAGGAACGGGTGAAATCCCCTGGGACGAGCTTCTGAAATCCCCTGGGATGAGCTTCAGGCACCTCCTAAAGGGTGATGCTCCATTTGCCACGGGGCTGGGAGATCCTCGGGCTGATCCTTCCAGGAATGAGAGGCTTCAGCCTGACCACAGTGTCAGAGACTCCCTCATCTCTGCTCCTCTTCCTGCTATTCCTGGATAAAGGATTTTCCTGGATAAAGGACTTTCCCGGATAAAGGATAAATTCATCCTTGTGTGACTTTTTGGAAGGTGCTGAGCCCAGCGCTGCCAGGGCAGGATGAAGAGCRCCCTTCTYCATGGGCWGGCAGGGATGGAGGAGATTCTGGAGGGYTCCCTGAGGGAAATTCAGCTCCCCCGGCACGGGGCACAGTGGGAATAAGAGTGGGAGGTCATGCTTTGGCTTCTGAGAAATCAGGAAGGCTCCCGCCCACCCCGTCACGCGGAGCCGGAGGAAGTCCGGCGCTGGAGCAGAGGCGCTGCCAAAGGGACCCTTTTCTGTTCCTGGAAAACCCAGGCCTGCCTGCTCAGGGAGCAGCACAAAGTGACCAGAATGAGGTTTTCTGCCTCAAAATTGCCCCGGGGCTCAGCGTGGTGCTGAGGGTGAGCAGGGATGGGCTGGTTTTGTCGGAAAGGAAAGGAATGGCTGGTTCAATGTGGGATCGGCAGCTCCTGGAATCCCATCCAGGGATGRGCAGGAGGGCTGTGTCCCACCAGARCYTGCCATGAACACCCAGGGGTGYTCCCAGGGATCAGTTATCCCCTTTTCCAGGTCTCCATCATGAAGCCCTGGCTCCATCCTGCCCCGTTTTGCTGCGAAATGCTCTGTTTTGGGGCACTGAGCTCCCTCTGCCTCACCAGCAGCTCCTGGGTGTGATTTTGGGAATATTGGCAGCACCCATGGATGTGCCTTTGCTGCTGTGGCAGCTCTGCCTGCCTGGTGTGGGCACCTCTCTGGGCCTTCCTGTGCTTGGCGGGGCAAAATGTCTTTTTCTCCCTTTCCCTTTTCTCTTTTTCTTCCTCCCTGCTGGCTTCTCTCCATTTTCCCCAGTTCTGGCATTGTTTGGGAATTAGGGCTGAGGCAGGATAATGGGAGGGGCACAGGGTGACACCTTTCCCTGGGGCTGGGCTGATTTCTCTGACGGCATCACCAGCGTTCCCTGATCCCTTGGGAAGCAGCAAATCCGCTGKGAAATCTCCCGGGTTATTTCGGGAGAGGAAAAATCTTTGTTCCCACCCCACGCCGGTGGCCCCAGGGCGATGGGAAGTCCTTGGGGGTGGCACTGCCGCTGTCCCCGGGGTGTCCCGGTGCCGGGCGGGGACTGACAGCCCTTCCCTGCTCACCTTGCCCTCTGTCCCCGCAGGCTGCAGCATTTCAAGGAGTGCATCCAGTTCATCCACGAGTGCCGGCTGGCGGGGGGAGGCTGCCTGGTGCACTGGTGAGAGCTGCTGGGACCCCCTCACACCCCACCCGCCCTCTGGGGCTCCCCAAAAACGTCCCTGGTGCTGGACATCGCTGGGGAAGGGCGGGACGGACGGGAGGAGGAGCGGGACAGCGGGACAGCGGGACAGCGGGACATGGGGATGTTTCCACCGCGGGATCCCCGGGGATGGGGCACCGGCATCCTGAGCATCCCGGGCATGGGACGGGCTTGAGGAGGGGACAGCGGGGTGACAGCAGCGGTGACAGAGTGAGAGAGCTCTTTACCCATCCCTACCCACGCCAGGGATCCCCGGTAACCCCTCAGCGGGTGATTCCTGCGGGATCCCTCCCCCTGACCCCGCTCCCGGTGTCKCCCCAGCCTGGCCGGGGTGTCCCGCAGCACCACCATCCTGGTGGCCTACCTGATGACAGTGACAGAGCTGGGCTGGCACAGCTGCCTGGCTGCCACCAAGGCCGTGCGCTCCTACGTCAGCCCCAACTCGGGATTCCAGCAGCAGCTGCAGGAGTACGAGAGGACCCTGCTGCGGGAGGTGAGGCACCCTCGGGCGCGAATTGGAGCGGTTTGTG